ATACCCTAGTACATGGTCAGTTTTTGTGTAAGTGCCATGTACTGCTGAGAAAAAGGCATATTACCTTCTATCCTCATTCAATTTTCTCAGAGGTCAACCACATCTAACTTTTCTAAAATTCTATTCATTTCCTTAACTTCTTTCTTGTTTATTTTGTGATTAGATTTATCTAGTTCTGAGAGGGGGAGGTTGAGGTCCCCCGCTAGTATAGTTTTGTTATCTGTTTATTCCTGGAACTCCATTAACTTCTCCTCTAAGGATTTGGATGCTATACCACTTGGTACATATATTTTTAGTAATGATATTACTTTATTGTCTATTGTACCTTTTAGCAGGATGTAGTTTCCTTCCTTATCTCTTTTAATTAGATCTATTTTTGCTTTTGCTTTGTCTGAGATCATGGTTGCTACCCCTGGTTTTTTTTTTTGTTGTTTACTTCAGCTGATGCATAATATATTCTGCTCCAGCCTCTTACCTTAACCCTGTGTGTATCCCTCTGCTTCAAATGTGTTTCTTGTAAACAACATATTACAGGATTATGGTTCTTAATCCACTCTACTATCCACTTCTGTTTTATGGAAGAGTTCATGCCATTCACATTCACAGTTATAATTACTATCTGTGTCTTTCTCTACATCCTATTTTCCTCTTTTCATGATTTTCTCTCTCCTTTCTCCCTTTTCCTCCTCACTAGTTTTGCTTACAACCACTGCCTCCCTCAGCCTGCCCTCCCTTCTATTAGCCCCCTCCCTTTTCTTCCCCTTTATCTTTACTACTTCTTCCCTCCCTTCTATACACCCCCTTCCTTTTCTTTTTCCTTTTGTCTCCTACTTCCTATAGGGTAAGTTAGATTTCTATACCTAACTGATTATGTTATTCCCTCTTTGAACCAAACCTGATGAGAGTAAGGTTCAAACAATTCTCATCTCCCTCCCTTCTTTCCCTCTATTGTAATAGGTTTTTGTGCCTTTTCTGTGATGTAATTTACCCTTGTCTGCCTCCTCCTTTATTCTTCTCCCAGTACAATCTCTTTTCACCATTTAATTAGTTTTTTTATCATCACACATTGTTTCATTTTTTGCAATGTCTCAGAGCAGAGTGATTACTTACAATGGGGGTCCTCCAGTGCCTCGGTCTAGTGAAATAGACTGTGTTGTTATTGGGCCTCCTCTTTTTCTGTCTGATTTGGTTATAGAGGAAAGCCACTCCCAGAAAGGAGAAACTGTGGAAGTAACTGGAGATAGTCAAGCCTAGGAGAGAACACAGGTCTACATAAAGGTGGTGTGTGTGTGTGTGTGTGTGTGTGTCTATGATGTGAATGTATGCATGTATAAAGTATATAATAGTGGTGCTGAGCTGAAACAGCTCACACTCATACATGCATAGACACACATGATACATACGTACACACACCTGCTTCTAACACAGTCCTCTCATTTTACAGATAAGGAAGCTGAGGCCCAGAAAAGAGAATGCACACGTTCAAGTTCACATCTGTAATAAGCAGCAGGGCCTTGAAGGGATCCCACGCCAGTCCTCTTTCCTCGACACTAAACTATTCGGGGAAAAACGACGCAGAATCAGAAGGATGCGAACGTCGACGCGGTCCTGCAGGGATCCCGGAAATGCGTGTGGCGGTCCCACCCCACCCCCACTCAGGCCCGTGCACTTCCTGTCCATTGTTCTCCGCTGAGGCTTTCGCTGTCCTTGGTGTGCCCCGAGAGGCTAAAGCGTCCCTGCCACAGATCGCCGAGGAGAGGAGACCCAGCCCCGGGGCAGCCCGGCCTGTGAGTCTGACCCCGGGCGGGGGTGACGCCGACAGCTTGGGGAGGGTCCAGACCCCGCCCGGGCCCAGGAGCCGAGCCGAGCCGGGCCGGAGCCGGAGCTCGGAGGAGGACAGGAGCCGACATCTTCCTCCTCGGGCAGGGCGAGGCCCGGCGCTGCTTGGCTGGGGCCGGAGCCGGTGATGGGCCGAGGGAGCCGGTGATGGGCCGAGGGATGTGGGATTTGGGTGGGGGGGACGAGAGTGAGGACTAGGGGCTTGGGAAGACGGGATGCCTGGGGTCTGCCCGAGGCCGGGCGAGGAGGTGACAGAGCAGTGTGGTGCCTGGGGAGGAGCAGCTACGGGGAACGCAGACTGAGAATGAATGAAGGAAGCGCCGGGTTCTGGAAGAGATCGGTGCCTGAAACCTGGAGCTTACAGCTGGGTCTGGGATTAGAGGAAGACCAGGGAAGGGTTGGAAAGCTTCTGAGATGTAAGGGCTTGTGGGAGATAGTCGATAGGTTTACACTCAGGACATCTGAGGAATTAGGAGGCTGAAAGAAGAGCTAAAGGCTATCTAGGTGCTTGGGACCCTAAGTAAAGTGGCTGGGGAAAAAATGAAGGACCAAGGAGAGGGAGGAGAGAAATAGGGATTGATGGGAGGGAGGAGGAGATGATGACTTTAGCGATCTACTGTTTTAAACCTAAACATTTGTTGAGGGTCCATGACCTAGGCACCTGGAAACTGAGTCACACAAAATGAGATATAGTTTTGCTCCAGAGAGGTGTTTGGTGAAAGATGCCTTTCTGGAGACAGTATTGAAGTCCAGCTAGCAGCCAAGTGGGAAATGATGAGGTGTACCCTGGGCCCCATCCTTGGGAGGAGCTTTCTGATGTCCCTCCTCTACGGGAAGGAATGGGAAGCTCTCTAGAATGAAGTTCTGAAGACACCAAGAAAAATGATGCCATTGGTGATAAAAGGAGTAGTGTAAAGAGACAGGGAAATTATCTAACAGCTTAGACACATATAGAAGATGAAAGTAAGCAGGTAACAGAGATCGAATATTTCCTTTTGCCACCAAAGGTACCACTAGTCTTCTGATCACCTAGGTTCACAATTTTAGTTCCATCTTCCTCTCCTTGCTCTCCTTTACTCCATATTTTCAATCAATTGCCAAATCTTGTTTCTTCCTCTGCACAAAATCTTGTGTCTGTTCTATATCTTTCCCATCTTCACCACTCATACCCCTGCTATCCTAGTTTAGGTTTTCATCACCTCTCATTGGAGTATTGCAGTAATCTCTTAATTGGCAGTTTCTTGCTATTAAAGTTCATTTTCCATACTGATTTAAAGTGTAAGTGTGATCATCTAATGCCCCCACTTCACTCAATAAAATCCACCGACTCTCTATTATGAGGTATTTATGTTGAACAGTAGGGAGAGTACTGGGCATGGAGTCAAGTTCAAATCTTACTTCAGATACTAGCTCTGTGACCCTGGGCAAATCAACCTCTGCCTCAGTTTCCTCATCTATAAATGCAGATAATAATAACACCTACCTCTCAGAGTTGTGAGGTCAAAATGAGATGGTATTTGTAAAGTACTTTGCAAATCTTAAAGCACCATATGAATATTATTAGTAGCTAGGTGACACAGTAGATTGAGCACCAGGCCTGGAGTCAGGAAGACTCCAAATCTGACCTCAGACTTTTACTGACTATGTGACCCTGGGCAAGTCACTTAACCCTGTTTGCCGCAGTTTCTGTATCTGTAAAATGGGAGAAATAATAGCACCTAATTCCCAAAGTTATTATGAACAAATGATAATTGTAAAGCACTTAGCACAGTGTCTGGCACATAATAAGTGCTATATGAATGTTGGCTATTATTGTTATTAGCTCTTGGACCACATAGAAACTTCCCCATTTGAGATTTAAGCTGTTTACTGATGAGGGTCAGGTTGTCATGTGGTGGGATGTCTCAAAGAATTTCAAAGACTCGGGCCAACTGCAAGCCAGTTAGAGAGATTTATTGTGGTTTTGAGGTTTCATGCTCTGGTGAGTGGCGAAGTTCCTTAGAGGAACCAGTGACTTCAGTAAGGCAAGCCAGATGATTTTATAGAGTATGTGATGCTGATTACACAATCATAATTTACACAGAATGTAAGAATGTGATTAATATTAAAAAGGCAGGAGGGGTTTGTTAAGGGATTAGGTAATAGGGGAGAGGGTCCCTTTTATGGTTCAGTGATCAAACTTCCTGGTCATGCTGCTTTCTGATTGGCTAGCTATTATGGTCCTCTCCAGTCAAGATGGATAATTAGGTATTGTGGTCCTGTCTTGGGCTAAATAGATGATGTGATTGTGGTTGAGTATAAGAACACACCTGTTCAAATATGTGAATTGGATCTAGGAGCAGTGGCTAGCTAGGGGCAGTGGGTATGCTGTTCAGTATGGCCTATGATTGTGTTTAGGGGCTTGTGATGTGGTTAAAGTCAGATTGTGTGATAAATCAAGTCATGCCTGCTGTTCAGTGGGGCCCGTAAGGAAGTTAGAATATTGGGGTTGGGGGCAGCTTTATTAGGATTCTGTCATTTACAGCCAGGACCTTAATCTTTCCAATCTTCTTACACATTTGTCTTCATGGTCTCTTCAGTTCAACCATACTGGTCCAACTTCTGTTTCTTACACACAATGCCCCTCACATCTCTGTGCCTTTATACTGTCTGTCCTGTTTACCTGGAATATTTTCCCTCCTTTCCTCTGCCTCGCAGAATCCTGACTTCCTTCAAGACTTTGCTCAAATGCCACCGTCTGCAGGAGGTCTTTCCCAATCTGCCTGATGGCTAGTTCTTTCACCTTGAAAGTTACCTTCCATCTATTCTTTACAGATATATTTTCTTCCTTATTAGAATGTAAGCATTTTAAGAACAGGGACTATTTATCATTTTCATTGTTGTGTTCCTTACACTTACCACAATGCTAAATACTTAAATTCTTCTTGACTGGTAGATTTATTAACTATAAAACTTGGCATAGTCCTATAGGAATAGCATCAGAAGAGCTAAAACTGAGAATGAGCAGAAGCTGTCAGGGAAAACTTAATGACGACAAAAGGGTATTTTATTTTTTTAGCTATATTGTAGAAAAGAGGAGGCTCAAAGATGGAATGGAACCTCTATTGAGGATGACTGGGCCAATGTTGACTGACAATTGAGGGAAGAACTGTTTAATTTTTATTTTGCTTCTCTTTTCTTTGACAAAGAGAATAATCTTTAGATGAAAATTAACAGAGCAATTATGGCTGATAACAAATTGATACCCCAAATAAGTAAGATATATAAGTGGTTCCCTAGGTACCCTTGATAAGTTCAGGTCATTTGGCCTGGATAAACTATATTCTTGAGTCCTAAAAGAACTGACAGTTTTGATTTACTGAGGCATTGTCTTTAAACAGAAAAACCTGGAGACTAGGAGAGGTTTTGTAGGATTAGAGAATGGTAAATGTCTGTAATTTTTAAGAGAAGAGAATGGATTTTGCAAACTATTCTGGCAACATTATAGAATGTATTATTAGGAGGGATGGTTAGTGAAAATCTAGAGCAATAAAGGCTTACAAAAAACCAGCATGGCCTATACAAAAACAAGTCATTCCAAATGAAACTTACATAGTTTTTACCTAGACTTTAGTGAAGCATTCAATGATTTCTTATACTATACTTGTGGACAGATAGAGACCTGTGGACTAGACAATGGGATGTCTCCAGTGGACTTTCAAGGGTCTAGACTTGGCCTAGTGCTGTCTAACATAGTATTATTCTGTGTTAAATAGGATTTAGGACTGAAAGGGACACTAGAGACTATCTAGTCCAACCTTCTCATTTTATATAGAAAAACTTCCTAATGATGAAAGATATCCAAATGTGGAATAGTCTAGCTCAGGAAGAAGTGGTTTCCCCCTTACTTGAACAAAGATTTGATGACCACTTCTTAGGTTTGCTTAGGGATGCTAGGTGGCACAATGGATAGAGTTCCAGCCTCCAACTCGGGAAGACTCAAGTTCTTCAGTTCAAATTTGGCCTTAAACACTAACTGTATAACCCTGGGCAAATCACTTAATCCTCTTTACCTCAGATTCCCCATCTGTAAAATGAGCTATAGAAGGAAAAGGGAAACCATCCCAGTATCTTAAAAAAAAAAAACTTTATTTATTTTTAGTTTTCAAAATTAACTTTTATAAGATTTTTAATTTTAAATTTTCTCCCCCTCCTTCCCTTTCCTCTCCCCCAGATGGTGTACAATCTGATACAGGCCATACATGTGCAATCATATTAAACATATTTCCACATTAGTCATGTTGTAAAGAAGAATTACAGCCAAAGGGAAAAACCATGAGAAATAAGAAACCAAAAAAAAAAAAAAAATAGTCCATCTGCATTCAGACTCCATAGTTCTTTCTCTGGAGGTAG